GCATCAGACTTTCCTTTCACTTCCAGGCACGTCCACAGCTGAGCGTCCTTTCGGCTTTGGCCCAACCACTTCATTAGCTCTGGAGCTACTTGTACTTGTCCTCTGCTCTTCCTCAGTAGCATGTTGGATGCCTTCCGACCTGAGGGTCCCATCTTCCAGAACCATATCTTTTAGCCTTTTGTTTCTGTCCATGGCGTTTTGTTTTTTGTTTTTGCAAAGATACTGGAGTGGCATTGCCAATTCCTACTCCAGGTGGATTGCGTTGAGTCAGAACTCTCCACCCTGCACGGCCTAGTCGATAGCTTCTCTGAATGACTCAAGCCCCTTCGCCACGACAAGGCAGCCATCCGTGAAGGAGATGCAGATTACAGGAAACACTATTTGAATAGTGTGCACAGTATGATTTCTTGACTCCCTCTAGTAGCCAGTTCTGGTGCATTCACCTTTAGAAATACAGTACAGTCTATCTATTTTTGGGATTTTTCTTGTAATATATTTTTCAGACTGTGGATAAGTAAATCAGCAGATATGAGGGTCCCACTGTACTTAGAAATGATTTCCCTTTCCACACATGAGCTCTCCGGAGAGGCAGGGGATTTGGATGCCGAGGCATGTCAGAAGGAGCTGTTCCTTCCACATGGTTCCTGACCCACCGCCTAGGCTTCTTCTGCTGTCTGATGGGGGCTGGAAGGCCAGCCACGGGGGCTGCCACGCAGGGTGTGAGACCTGTTCCAGTTCTGAGCTCCAGTTATAAGAGACCGTTCTTGCCCCGTGCTGCTTCTGGCGTAACGGCCATCCCCATAAGGCTTCCGAGGTATACAAAATATTTAAGGAGTGATCTTCCCATGGTCCCTTCCCTTCCCTGTCAGTTTTCACAGAAGAGCAAGGATTGGAATCCAGGTCTCCAGAGTACTTGGTTGAGACTCAATCCACTACACCCTGCTGGACCTCAATAATCATCTGAACTGGAATTTTAGAAATAAACTGGAGGAACTGGATCTAGGGGGAACGGTCAAGGTAAAAGACAGTAGAGACGGAAGAAGGAAGTTGTTTGGGACAGGATAGGAGTTCAGGGGGAAAGAAAGAGGCAGGAAATGAGCCACAGTGAGAGATCCCCTGGAGCGGGTGAGAGAAACAGAAAATAAAAAGGCTTCCTGGCTTAGAGCCTCTGGACGAGCAATTTCTGCTAGAAGTGGGGGAGTTTTGAACCTTAACACCCCCAGAGCGGAAGTCTTTACACTACTGCAGGAAAGCTGCACTGCGGAACTCTCCGCCACATGGAAATCCCTGTGCCACTGCAAACAGCGATTTTCAAAGAGGGATCAGACAAACGCGGAAGAGGATTAGCAGAAACCGCCCTCCAGTTATGCTAAACACCACTATATTTTTTTATTTGTAAACTGGTGCAGAAGGGGATCACACACAATTACCTCCGGATCCTCGGGGAAAATATTGTCCACGAGCCTTTTGTAACGGGGCCGCAGAGCTCCGCAGCAACCGCACACGCCTGGAACAGAAAAGGAAAGCCTTAATTAACAATTACATCTGATGTACAGGATTCGCTTTTTAAAATTTCTAGCCAGGTAGCGGTATGATCACCTTGAAACGGACGTTATTTGGCACAGAGGTTCCTGGACTCTCCCCCTTCTGCCTAAACCAAACCTGTTGACTTTTAAGGTACCACCAGAGACTCCTTATTGTCTGTGGCTTTTAAAAGCATCACCTCGCCAAAATCCAGGCCTTGAGATAACGTGTGACAAATGAACAACCGTCACTGCCCCTAAGTGGAAGTGGAAAGAACTCTCTTCTCCAGCACCGGATCCGTTCCCTGACACCCCCCCGACACATTAAACCAGCCTTGACACCCTCTGGGCCACACCCAGATGTGTTGTCAACACTACAATTCCAATGGTTCCTCAGCCAGGTTCAACGAGACCAATCGGATCCCCGTGGAGGACTCTCCCGCACCACCAGATGCTCAGACACCGCCGGTCGGTGCACGACAGCCAAACAGAATTTGAAGTGGACGAACGTCGGCTTCCATTCCCCCCCCCCCGAATTTTTCCCCTAGCAGTCCAAAATATTGGCAAGTCCGAGACTCCTGAGTCTTTGGTACCAAGTACCGAGCGTGAGTCCCTATGAAAAACAACTTTTTCCCCCCAGAAAAAAAAGGGAGGGGTGGGTAAGTTCCGAGTCACGCGCCGAGTTTCAATCATGGTTTTAAAAAAAGAGTCCAAGTTGAGTCACTTGGTGCTCCCCCCAGAAAAAAAGGGAGGGGTGGGTAAGTTCCGAATCACGTGTCGAGTTCGAATCATGATTTAAAAAAAAGTCCAAGTTGAGTCAAAATCAGGAAAATATAATCTGTTTTCTTCGCTCCATAAGACGCACAGACTTTCCACCTCCCTGTTTTGTAGGAAAAAAGTGTGTCTTATGGTGCGAAAAATACGGTAGTTTATGTATTCTCTCTCTCTCTTTCTCTCTGTGTGTCTTTCAAGGACCCCAATAACCTTTCTGCTACAAGACCCTATATCTAGGGAGGTTGAGTTTTTTCCTGGATGCCATTGCACAAAAACACAACACAACAACAACAAAAACAACAACAACAAACCATGCCCCCATGAATTTGGGAAACACAAAACCACAGTTGGAAACCGACCCGCGGTACCACTGGAGAAATAGAGAAGAAAGAAAAAGAAGCCAAGACATGCCGCTCTCTTGATTAAGAACTTGGTTTCCACGCTCCCATTCAACTCCCCAGACTATATACAGTGGGGTCTTGACTTGAGAACTTAATCTGTATTGGAAGGCGGTTCTCAAGTCAAAAAGTCTGTAAGTCAAGTCTCCATTGACCTACAGTGCATTGAAAACCGATTAATCCCATAACAGGCCGTTTTTGTTCCATTTTGGGTTTTTTCTGGTCTGTAAGTCAAATCTCAGTCTGAAAGTCAAACCTAAATTTTGCGGCCAGAGAAGTCTGTAACTCAAAAGTCTGTAAGTCAAGCCGTCTGTAAGTCAAGGGTCCACTGTATTAAGAGAAGACACCACAAAACCACAGTTGGAAACCGACCCGCGCTACCACTGGAGAAAGAGAGAAGAAAGAAAAAGAAGCCAAGCTCTCTTGATCAAGAACTTGGTTCCCACGCTCCCATTCGACTCCCCAGAATATATATTAAGAGAAGGCATTTTGATAAAGCAAAAAATTATTGGGCTAAAATCCACATGTGGATGAAGCCAATGTCAAAACAGGAAACAGAATTGAAATCGGAAATATTTTTGTTCGGATTACTGCCAAATACTCTAGATAGAGAAAGCTATTCTTTAACACATGTTTTGACAGCAGCTCGGTTATTACGGGCACAGGTTTGGAAAGACGAAAATCCAACAAAGGATTATAAAAATATATATTGGAAAGTCCAGAAATGGATAGATTGACTAAGAGGCTAAGGGGACAAGAAGATCAATCTTTTTTTTTTATTGAAGCTGGAATTTATTTTATAATTGGTGGAAAGGAAAAATCCCACAGTAAAGGAACAGAAAATGAATAAAAAGTGAGATGTCATAAATAGGATCTCATCAGAAAAATTATTCCAATGTACAAGATTGCTTCTATGTTGAGCTTTGCCTTTTCTTTCTTTTTTTGCATTCAGATTATCTTTGTTTATTGTTCGACGATTAGAGATTCTTACACTTTATGCTTACTGTTTAAATGTGCACAGTGCTATTTATCTATGTTTTTAAATCTTCTGTTTGGAAAAAAAAAGAGAGAGAATACATTGCCGGCCGGCACCTCTGCAGACCCTCTTGACTGTGGGTAACAAACAGGAAAGCCCCTTCGCTCGCTCTCTGAAGATCAGCATTTGGCTTTGGGGTGTCTGTGGGTTTCTATGCTGTCAACCTAGCTTCGTTTCCTGGAATTTGGGATAAACTGCAGAAGGGAGGACCACCCCGGTTGTGTTTCACTGGTGAAGACATGAAGACATCAAAGACTGAGAACGAGAGAAGACCATCTCAAGAACCATTTTCTTTTTCCAAAAGTGTTCGCCACTTATTTCAACGCTCCCTCCACAAGGAAGCCTCTGAAATAAACTTTCCTTTGTGCAGTGGAATTTTCTCAGAGCGGCGTGCTTCATATACTCGCAAAATTAAGTCTAGGTTGCTTGCCAAAGGCTGAATCCCAAAACAAGCAAGATTCAGAGAGGTAAGGAAAAACAAGCCCCTGCTGTGACAAACAGATGACGTCCATGACTTGAGGGAGCACCTCTGTAGAAAACGTGCTAGGCGTATTCTTCCCTTTGCTCCTCATTTGGAAGGCAAGTGAGCCGCAAAGCCTAGCATCCAGAGGACAGACTCCTGTTGGATGTGCATTTTGAGAAGATGCCATATACCTGCAAAGCATCCTAGTGCGACATCCTAGATGCCATTTCTGAGCTCTGTGGTCAAGGCAGAATTCGCATAGGCCTCTGCTAGAGAACAGGGGAGAAGTTTGCAATTCATGTAATCCAGATTTCCCTGACCAGGCCCTTGCCAGTTGTGCAGGACTATCACTTCCCTCATCCCTGTGTTGGTTCGGAAGGATGGGGATTGTAGTCCAAAACATCTGGAAGTGCCTGGATGGGAAGGCTGATGGTGCCACTATACGGTGAATGTGACCAGCAGCCTAGGGCTCCACAAATTTTCGCACACATACTACAGTATGAAGGCCACGCTTAATTATTACACCCACATCTAAGTGTGTATTTCCAAACGTACTTCGACTTGTGCTTTCTGTGAGTCGAGAACCACGTCAGCGTCCTCGTGTTACAGTCAGCTCTGATGTCACCTGTCCTTCAAGGGTTTGGAGGGAAAGTTATCATCCAATGGTGGTCGGAAGGCGGGACATCAGGGGGAGGAGCTGTGTTGTATATATAGAAAGTGGATGGTTTAGGTGAGGAGGGAGAAGGATTTGGGTTCTGTGTGAACACGTGTGGAGCCTTTCTTTACCTGATTACATGCTATTTGTGTTTTACCAATCCATGTGTACCAATCAATAAACATTTAGTTCTTTTATTTTTAAATCCATTCCAGTCTGTGTGACTCAATTCAGGGAATGGTTGGTGGCAGACTACCGGAAGTGTAGAAGTGTGGTGACGTAGCGACCTTCCTGTGTGAGATGGAAGGAGGCCGTTACACCTCGGGTGGGCAGCAGGAAAGTCAAAGGGTGACTCGATTCCGGTCTGCACTTTCCTCAAGGAGATGGAAGCAGGGTAGTCTGCGTTCTACAACAGTAATGCAGTCAAGACTCTGCTCACGACCCACGTTTGATCCGGATGGGCTCAAGACTGACTCAGCCACAAACCATCCTTCTGAGTTCAGTAAACTGAGTACAGTGTGCCCAGCAAGACTATGTTAATTCATTATGCAAAAATCGCTGTTTTGTGAAAACATTGTCTTGCGAAATGCAGTTCCCCATTGGAATGCATTGAAATCCATTTAATGCATTCCAATGGGGAAAAATCGTTGTCGTTTTGCGAAAATCACCCATAGGAAAACTGTTTTGTGAAGCACGGATTAGCTGTCAAAATCGCTGTCTTGCAAAAAATGGTTCAGAAAACATCCGTTTTGCGAAGCGCGGACTCAGCTGTCAAAATCGTCGTCTTGCGAAAAACAGTCCCAAAAAACCATCTTGCGAAGCACGGACAGAAACATTGTCCAGCGAAAATCGCCCATAGGAAACACTGTTTTGCGAAGCGCTATAGCAATCGCAAAAACTCATCGTCTAGCGAATAAACCATTTTGCAAGGTAATCGTCTAGCGAGGCACCACTGTAGCCATTTCAGGGTGGGGGGGGGCAATGGGGAGCCTGCCTAATTAAACTGTAAACCGCCCAGAGAGTGCTTTAAGCATTATGGGGCAGTACATGAGCTTTAGTCTGCGTGAGTCCCTTTTTAAGGAGAAAGCTGGGGTAAAAATATTTCAAATAAAAAAGTAAAATTAAATTAAATAAAGACTGAACCTGCACCCTGCTCCTAGGCCTTCTAGAGCAGAAGTCCCCAACTCCTGGTCTGTGGGCCGGGTGCACCCTGCTCCTAGGCCTTCTAGAGCAGTAGTCCCCAACTCCCGGTCTGTGGGCTGGGGCCGATCCGTGGCTTGAGCCAGACCGGGCCATGGAGACAGACCTTCCGCCCCGCCCCCCGCACGCGCACTCACCCCCACAGCTGATTCACACATGCGTGTGCTCCAGCATGCCTGTGCAAGTGCTGTACCAGCATTTGTGCATGAGCGTAAGCACACCCAGACAAGCGCCATGCTGCCGTTTGTGCATGAGCACGAGTGCGCCTGCACAAGCGCCGTGCTGCCATTTGCGCATGCGCATGAGTGCACTTGTGCTCGCACAAACGCCACACTGTCATTTGCACATGTGCATGGGCGCGCACTCATTTGTGCGAGAGAGTGTGTGAGCTTATTCACGCGTGCGCACGAGCGCAGGGGGTGCCCCGCCTTCCCCAGTCGGTCCACGGGATGAAAAAG